GAGCAGATATTTAGTCAGACGTGCTACGACCGGATCAGAAGCCTGACTGCTCCTCTTTTATTTTAGAATTAGTTATTCCACGGCTCTTTCCCTTGGACTTTACCCGGGAGTCAGTAAGGTAATGCTCCGATAATTGGAACATTTCCTGTAGTCTCCATTCTTTAGCAGGGGTACTAGGTCTCCCGTTCTTCAGTCCGTTGGTATCTCCCCTCCCCCGTCCCCGTTACACTGCAGTTTGGCAGACAAGTGGAAGCCATCACATGCCTTGTTCGCGTTATGCAGATTTTGTCAATTCCGGCAGCCTTTCCATTTTTCAAGCTTTTCACTTGTATGATTTCTTCTGCAGAAATAGTAATATCCGTTTCCTGCTGCTCTACAGGTTAGGCTTCCTGCAGTTGCTAAGGATTTAGGATTTCTTTAAAAATGCTCTGTCCATCGCCGAAGAATGACCTCATCCTCTGTAAGAAGGTGCCCAGACCTGTCCTTCAGGGCTCTTTGACTGCCATTGTTTTCACCTCTGAACTGGCGGATGTTCTGCCAGAGTACCTTGTTTCCCGTCTGGAAATTCGACTCTAACACCTCACCTAACCTCTCGAAGGAATCATCATTTGCATTTGCCACTGCCACCTTGCGCGCTTCTCCATATCGCATGCGAGTTGTAGGCTCTTTTCTTCCGAGCCACTTCTTAAATGCCGTCTTCTCATTGACTTTCACTTGTACCTCTCATGTCCACCAGGAATTTCTTTTCTGACCTCAAAACGTCAGTCCAACCCGTTTAAATCCGCAGCGTTCTGCGGTAGCCTCGAGTATGCTGCTGTTAAAGAGCATCCTCTCGGTTTCCACATCGGTTATGACCGAGATCTGTTCACACTGTCGTGCTATGTTGTTTGCAAGTTTCGCTCTCGTTTCCGCAGAAGATAGTGTTTTCTATTTGATTCTCTGGCTACTTCTGCCACCTGGTCGTTTCTTGGTACTCCATTTCTCACGGCGTTCGATGCTAACAACAAGGTTGTGATCGGTTGACGGCTCTGCGCCTCTCGTAACGCAAGCATCCATTACAGAGTGTCGTAAGTCAGACGTTGCGATTATCAGATCAATCATGAACTTCTGTGGAAAAGCTTCAGTATTTCAGGTATACCCATGAACGTTTCGATGCTGGAAGAAAGTGTTCATGGTGTACAATCTGTTGTTTTCACAAAACCGTAACAACTTTATGCTGTTTCTGTTGAAGTCGTTCATTAGAACCGTTCATTCTAATCACACCATTCCCTTTTTCAGCGTCTGCTCTGACATGCGGATTAAATAGCCTATTAGAATGACGGACTCCGTAATCGGCAGCTCGTACAGACCGCATTCCGCTTTCTCGAAGGAAGACTTATATTCCCCGTCTAAATTCGCACAGACCTGTTAGAAGGTCAACGATTTAGCCTGTTTTATTGCTTCAGTCGGCGGATTGCCACTCTTCCGCTGACAGGCTTCCATTCAGTGATTCTATGAGTCAGGTTGGGTTCTACCAGAAGAACAACACCGGCCTGAGCGCGCGTCCTGATGTCGACACCTGAAAAGAATAGCTTCCACTCGCAGAGGATTAGAGTTCTAAAACCCTGCCGCTTGGTAGACGAGAACCCACCTGTATCGAGTTGGTACCTTGCAGCCTCATCAACTAGCTCCTGCTGTTTCCCTCTGAGTGAGGGTGTATTCCAATTTTCGACTATGAGGTTGCACTGTTGTTGTTCCCATGGAGTCCTAATCTGACTTGCTATGATGGCGTTGACCTGTCTGCCTCCTTCGTTCAGAACTGGTAGCGACTCCGTTGATGATTGGTATCTTCGTCGTGGTTTCATCGATCCTCGTCAGCTGTTGTTGTGCTGCTGCGCCCCCGACTGCCAGATGGAATAAGCAGATTCTGATCGCCGACTTTTCGCAGCCTGCCTCATTCCGGCAATAGCCTGCGGGGCTGTTGCTAACCAGGGCAACGACAGATCCGGTATAAGTTTCGATGAAGGCAATAGCACGAGAGGCAGGTGGCTAAGTTTCATGCTGTTTCGTTGTTCCGTTTTTTCCTATTCTCCCTATCACATTGTCTCGAATTCCTTATTCTAGTTTTACAGTCCCAGTGCATCCGTTATCCCACTCTCTCGTTGACGACGCCAAGTAGAGGTATTCCATCTGGATCGAATAAACTCGTACTGATTCTTCCACCCTTTCTCTGGCCAGTCAGTTTTTGTTTTAGGTTTTCCTGGCGGCCACCTAATATCAGATTTTGCTACCTAATATCAGTATTCACTTCGCAAGAGGCTATTGCACGGATGTCATCATAAAGTCTTTTCTGAACCAGTTGATCGGCTTGTTGCGTTGCTTATTGTCTACCTTAAAATAGCATTTGACAATAGACGTTCCACTTTGCGTCAGATATTGATCTTAAACTGTTTATTTCCCTCTCGTTCTGTTTTCTGGTGTTGACTTTTTTGTTAAGTGCTGTCACTTTTAGATCATAGACCAAGATAATCAGAATCTAGGCAGAGTGTATGCAGAGTTGTGTGCTACGGCAGGCTTCTTTGATCTTCCACGGCTTGCATGATCTGTTGCTTGTTAATGCCAGCGCAGACGTGATTTGCCACTGCTTGCCGATCGTCCGTCTGCAGACGCAAACGCGTTAGAGGACACTACAAAATGTGGAAACTGCTCGCCGAGACAGACCTGTTCCCACAGAGTAAAATGAGATTTGCTGCACCGATGAACTTTGCCCAACATAAATCTGAAGTATCGTTTCTAGCGGTCAGAAATCATAATCTGGGTTACTTTAATGTTTAGGATTTGTTACTCTCATATGAGGATGACAAACAATATTAATAACTTCCGTCCGCAGCGAAGGTATTCCAAAAATATAGAAGTTACAGCACTTTTTCCACAACTCTTGTGACAAGGGCAAAACGGTTGTTGGTCTGATTTCTGCCTGTTGCCATTAGTTTGTGTTACAGAGCTGATCCGTTTTATGCGTAAAAGGAAACTCTTTTCAGGGTCCTCTGGGGACGTTAGAGTTTATCCAAATCGTCGGTGTATTTGATGAAGAAACAAAAGCCGCCACCAAATGGAATGGCCATCGTGTATTAGATCTACTACGTCAGCACGTTGTGACCGGTGGCCCGTGGCTTGTAACCGACATACGGCGTTGTCAGAGCGTGTTCGAGCTCGATCCGCTGGCGAACGACATTCTGTTGCACGGCATCGCGACCGATGGTATGAACCTGACGGCTGTCAACTGTGCCGTATGTTCGTGGTCGATTCCACCTGTCGTCGAGTCTTGTTCGATGATGTCAAAGTTGCACGTTAACGACGTCGAGAATCCATATGGTATCGTCGCGAATCAAATCGCTGTTTTTCGAGTGCATTGATTGTTTATCGGTACCGTAACTGCAATTGTATTAGTAGTAGCGACAAAAATAGTAGTTATAGTATTAGTCTGTAGAGATAGTAAGTAATCTGTTGCAGTAGAAGTCGTGGTAATGCCAAGACTAATAGGTACAGTAATTATCCATAGTGATAAATTGTCAGGCATATTCGCATCGCGTCCTAACCACTGTCATTAATCAGATATGATGGCATAGCTCTTATTGCAAACATCTGCTAGAAGCTGATTTGAACTGCCAGCGAAACGCAGTGAATAAAATGGCGTAGAGATCGACTTCAAACCATAGATGCTGAGTTCGAAATACAACCTTTGTTTTAACGAAGGATTGAGCAAGGGATTTTCCGCACGTTGTTGCTTCGGCGAGACCAGCCGAGAAATGGGTAGCTGGTCGCCGGACAGGACCAGCATAGTGTTCTGGCGGGGTCATATCAGAATGGGCGAGAGGTACGGCCATGCTGTGTGGTGAAAGCGCGTTACGTTGTTGCGGTTCGTCTTGATGCACCTGCTGGCTGCTTTTTCAGTATCATGATCGGTATAATGTGTAGTCGCTGTTTTGGTCGATTGAAGTGCAATGGTCTAAAAGTCAACCGTAGCAAGAGTGCGCACTTGACCTCGCGATCGAAAAACAGTAGGTCGGTGAGGCGTTATATCTCACATTGAACGCTGTGTGAACTTAGAGAGAAAGGTTGTCTCTTAACCTGCGACACGACGGAATATCCGAGAGCCTGTTTAAACGGCGGCCCTGAAAAATGACATTCATCGGTCATTCCATTCAGACAGTGAAATATTCTTTCACTATTCATTCAACAGGTTAAACTAGTTATATAATATTTTAGCAGTGTTCGTAAAAGTTTAGGTGTATCACATCTAGCTACCTACCTCAGATACTTATTTCTTTGTCTGTCTATCCGTCTGTCAGCAGAAGTGCGTCCCTATCTACTTCGCCAGAACTTCTGCCAACACAAGCAGTTTTCATACCACTTATCACTTAACGTCTTTTCAGCCGTATTCAGTAACTTGATGAAGAAAGATGTTATGCTAAGTGTTAGAGTTGACAGGAACTGGGACCTTGCATGT